AGTAATAGGACTGGTATATCTTCACCACCACACTTGATTGCAACTGAAGTGATACCATAAAAACCAGAATTATGAAATGGCCAAAGCAAATTAATCAAGCGTTTAATGACACTGATGTTTGTCAATAACCAAAGTAGTTTTGGGGGTGACAGATGAGACTGAAGGTACCAGAGTCGAATTTTGTTGCAAAAAGATTTAGCAAAGTGTGCACTACATGCAGTCGGCGTGTCGACAACACTGCCGTCTGGTGTGATAATATGTGAGGGTAGGTCTGTTTGTCACGTTTTTCTTGAATAAGTTACCTAGTTCATCAGCTTTGTTTTTGCTGTGTAAAATGCATTTCTCTTGTCTAAGATGCGTAGAATCCCTGGCATCCATTCCAATTACAAGCCTTTGCAGACGCAACAGCACGCTGAAATCACGAGTTCTTTCCATACGTTCGAGCGAGTGTGCGCATTTGTTTTCTATCTTTTTCAGCAATAGTCAAGCTAGCCGGCATAAGGTTTCTTTTTTCCGATAGTTAATAATTTCAGACAATCTGGTAAAAGAGCAGATACATTCCGGAAGTCATGGGAAAGAAAGAGAACGTCCCAATTTTGCGAACGGAGTATAGTGGAAAATGAGTCCCAGTTTACACTTTGAGGGAAGAAAGAATGTATTATTGAATGGACTATTGGGAGTGAACCACTATTTTACAGGCAACTAATTTGTGGTCTCATCCTGGGAGGCCACGTAGTACGTCATTGTAGATGGAAATAGGGCCTAGAGTAAAAACTAGACCAAGAACAATTCTACCCCTTGTAGGTGAAAGGATATGATGAGTTCATCCTTCAGTCATAAGAAAAGTTATAAGCTTTGCGTGATTTCCGCTTGGTACTAATCTAGAATAGCATATATCAGGCAGGTTGAAGTCCCCACAAATGATCCTATTTTGCAGAGCAAGTCGTGATGTGGCTAAAAAGATTTATTACTTGGATCTCTTCATGCTCGCTGACACCAGGTGGGCGGTAGATCGGTTTCCACCGAACGACAAAATTAGTCAGATGGAATCAAGCGAGTGACAGATAAGCAGAAGTGTACACTTAGAAAAAAGCAGGTTTTGGGAGTATTAAATTCATCGTCATCATCATTATACAAGTCAGCTAGAGGTGGAAAACATCTCAGCTACTGTGCCGCAATACATAGGAAAAAGGAGAGAAAATAAATGCACCATGTGCAAGCCAGCTGAGCTACCGGTAACGGATAGGCATCGTTCCAGTAAGCTACCAGCTGGTTACTATGCAGCAAAAAAATATCATGCAAAATTATATAACGCTAAATAGTGAGATGGGAGTATTAAATAATGCAATTCCACTCTACTTGTCCACCGATCGCTCGGTTTATAGCCGTTAATTGAAATCATTTGGTTAGATACATCTGTGCTGCACCAAGAAAAGATCAGGTTTATTTAGGTACACGAAAGTACGGAGTAAATGAATCTTATTTAACAGTGAACGTACATTAAGTGGCAACATTCGGTAGGCATTCTGACTCAGGTTTGAGCCACAATATTCATTAGAATTTGAGCCTATATTAGCTGCAGAGCTATCCGTAATAACTCCCTCAAAGTGCGATTTACGACATCTGTGGATAGTAAAGAGGAAGGCGGAATGCGTGAGGCAATTCCAAAAATATGGGGTAGTTTGTCAGAGTATAACATATGCGAGGGAGGCAGTATTGTGGTTAATCAAAGGAGGCGGGGGTAAGTATGAAGAAGACAAGAGAGTACTATTTATTGTCGCCGCGGAAGTTACGGGACTAATGACCAATGAGTCCGCAACCGTATTCTGAGAGGTTAGGGGTTAATGTTTTTCAGGTTACATGGGATTGTTGTAATTTTTAGCCATGGTAGGAAGTGTTGGTTTCACCCCAACCCTATTAGGGCTCTTTCTAGGAATAAAAAGATTTCGAGGATGACTGCCGTTATCACTAGTGGATGGTATATCTTCAGTGATTTTACTTCCTGATATGAGTGTACCTCTCACACCCCTTGTGAAGCAATCGAGGATAGTTTTGTCGCCGGTTTGGGACAATCGGGATGGACAAGTTTCAGACCGTAGCGTTACAGATGTGGCTTTCGCTGTAGCTAGGCATGTGACGGCATCCTGTATACTGGTAGTGCACTCACAAATGCCCTCAATACCATTTGGAGAGTCAATGGTGCTTACAGAATGATCTAAATCAAGGGTTCTGCTTAACGGTCCTATGCAATCTTCACCGGATGCTACCCCTCCCATCGATTCCAGTGAGGAATAAGTGGAATTGTTTTTCGTGTGCTGGGGTGAGCTATTAGTAGATTTAGCATGAAATGCACATTAGAGAGGGGATCAGTCCTCAAAAATGATTACCTTGTCTAATCTCGGAATAGACCTGTTTTGATTCGCAATTAACATCCTAGCAGTGTTCCTTACTGAATCAGAAAAGCGTAGGGTATGGATGATGTAGAGACTTTTTCCTTAGTCTATTAATATCATTTATCGGTATGCTGTAGGTCTTTGCGACCGCATTCCTGATAGTTGTAAGCTTCTTGTCGTCCGGTATGTTGAGGGCAATAACACTTTTGGCACGCCTGCATCTTCCAGTTATCTCAGGATTTGGAACTTTATTGCCCCATTCATATGCCTGTGCTCTGCGTTAGATGGTGGACAAGTAAATAGCAAACAGATGTCAGGCTGTCCACGACAGAATCCAGCCGCAAAAGTGTTACACTTTGTTCGTTTAACCGCTCCTCTAATGCAATTCTATTTGTTAGTAAGTATACAAGATCAGTTATACTTACTGAACATCTACATGTGACACGTTTATGGACTTAAGGAGCTAAGGGGCTTCGGAGGCACAGATTGGTAGTCACATTAGGTTTTGGTAACTGCCGCCTCGTGACAGGTGAATTTGCAGAGGATACATCATACGTTTTTACAGTGCTAACGGATGGGATATGACAACGGTCTGCGAGCATTTCATTAGATTCGTCTTCCTAGAAGTAAAGGTGGGGCTTATCATTTTGACAGAGCTAAGGAGTATTTTTAGTGTTGTGAAAGTAGATTTTTAGGGCTTGTAAAACTTATCTAAAGTGCACGAGAATTATACTGGGTACAAAAGACCACCATATGAACGATAGCAACCAACCGGATTTTAAACGCGTCCGGTTATCCAATTTCGCCAAATATTGGAGATTGCCCTTCGGTAGTCGATCGCTTTGCGTACAGGTCAACTCGTGTAGTGCCGCGTCGCGTTTCTCTGCAGGTTCCAATAGTCAAAAAGGGACAATGCCGCCCAGCCGAAGAGAGTGGACCCGCGTTCGACAGAACGAGGTTCTCAATGGAAAGTGAAGACTTGCGGTCAGCAAAAAACTGTGGAATGACGATTCGCACAGCGAGTTGCATAAACATTTCAATTATGAACTTTGCATTCAATGTGGACTAGTAATGTAATCGCTCGTGGAGTACGTAATAAGCAAGATATTGCGGAAAATCTAGTTGTGTCATGTTTATCAGTCCGGATTCCATGAATGCAGTCGCAGAGTGCTGAAGACCGAAAAGTTTGAACAGATTTGGCACAGAAAGAAAAGTTTTCGGATGCGAACTAAAAGTAGCCAAGCTCTCACTGATTTATAATTAGAACGGTAACTTATTCCATAGATGGGCACATCCAGCAGGAAGAAATGTAAGCGAATAATTTGCGTGGTCTTCAGTCAGGATATTAGACATCCCATTACGAGTGAAACATGTGGAACTATTTTGCATAACGAAAGTCGTGTAGGTTGAGAAAATGCGCAAATGTATCGTACTATAGAGAAGAGTGAGTTTGTTCAGTCATTGAAGCCAGAGTGGATGAAGTTTGAGACAAGAACATCGTTCCTCATGGATAAGCACTCCATGATCATTTTAGTGAGCGCTGGACATTTTTCAGAGCAATTCTAACTGCCTTGCGTGTGCGGCTATGTATGATGGTGGAGTACTCCAGTGTGGATCACATTAACAGCCTGAATGATTCAGGGCGTGATTTCGTGCATTCAATAAAATCATGCACATGGAACAACTAGAGGATCCAGAGTAAAGTCAAACTAAATAGATGGGACATCCCTTGACAGTGCGAGGCACAGTCCAACTGAATAGTCTGATCACATAAAATCAATCGGTGGCTGTTTGGTGAGCTTTATGCTACCACGTAAAGCCGTCGCTGCCAATAAAACAGTGTGGTGACTGCTCACGATCGATAATAATCGCTTCGAGAAGCTAGAAAATGTGAAGCTTTGTATCGCGCACGGAGGTTGTGTACAGTAGAGCGAGGTTGACTTGGTGTGTGATGTTCAGTAAATGCCTCGTGATTGTTGGGGCAAGCTTGCTACTTGATTCACTTGGTACAACAGTCCCTATTCTATGTGTTTATGAAAGCGATGTGGGATATTTATTCAATTCGGACAGCTAAACTAGACCTATTAATCGAAAGCTAAGTGTCCAAATCGACAAACACATACAAACAGATGTAATACATGACTGATGCGCCGGGTGAAACGAGGAACAAACGTCTTCGTCGTAAACGTTGCGCACAAGAGAAAGGAGGTAAACCGAGAAGACAGCGAGGATTTTTTTGCACCAAACAGCAAACAAGCGCAAACATACATAATGTAGGCTAAAATAGGATGGAATCAATCGGATCAACTGAGAATGTGATCACAGGCAAGGCATAGACGCAAAAGATTGGTAAACATGACGGTGAAAATCCGTGTCAAGAGACGACTGTACAGCTTTGGTAGTCTGCGCTAACGACTTTGCATGGTTCAGGAATGGCTGGCTCCTACCAGACGAACAGAATCGATCCCCGAACTAAATTGCTAATTACTCAGGAAGCATAATCAAAGTATATATTTTGTGGTGATGCTGAAGGGGACTGTACAAAATGCGATAAGGCATGGCACTGATGGGACAGATTAAGGTGGACTCAAAATAGATACAGTAACGTCAAGAATAGCGGCCAGGATAGTAACGAGCGGATGGTGTGGATCGCGACCCAGAAGTGGACCATGGTGCAGTCCGACCGGAGAGACTGAAAAAACGGGAGAGGACATTAGGCGCTTCTGGAGTGATAATGTCAGGCGAATATTAGACAGACAATGTATGCGTAAGACACGAAAGACTGTTGTATCTCGACATGGCGGAACGAGAAAGTTGAACAAGAAACTCCCCGCATGTAACCTACGCAGATATTGTTTCTTAGTCTCTAACATGAGGTCTAACAGCGGAATTTAGCGCGAAAATTGCAGGTGTCCAGGATATCAAGCTACACGAACCAAATAGTAGCTATCTAAATTAACCAACCATGAAAAATAGGTTCGACGGCCGGGGGCTAAGAACACGAATGTCGATGAGGGTAGTATAACCAACATGTATGGTGGGGTCCAAAGTCACATATGACAATGGGGCGGTTAGGTAGGATACTGATGTGAACGGACTGGGTTTGCCGGATTTGTTACATATATTTTCCACCGAATTTCCTGCATTCGGTTTCTTTCATCTGGTTGTCAATTTTCGTTCCATTCTGATTAGTTTAACGCATTACTTTATTGCTTCGATTTTCCCGACATTGTAATCCCACCCAAACCCACCGTCCAACCGGTTATTTATTGTTGAGTAGTAGAAACTGGATCCACCGCACTTCGGTGTTCAGACCATAGTTGTTCAAATGAACTGAGCTGAACCGATCTTCAGACTCCCCAGTAAGTTACAAATTAGGACATCTTTTGATCCTTGTATCACTACTAGAATCTTGCCAGCCTCAAATTCCAGAGTTTAGTATTCATATGGGCCTGACTGCAAACGTTGTAAAACATGTTCGCGACTTTGCCTATTCGCAACGTAGTTACGCGGTTTATGGAATATTATAGCTCATTTCTACTGCTGACACGTTATTCATTGTTGCCTTGGAGTATAGATCCTTGTGCACATTAATTGAAACAAACTACGATTGTGTCCCTTTTCTATGAATATCATGTTTTTATACATGAAAGCTGCCGTTTTGCATTTATTTTTTTGTTTTATTTTAGGAATAGATATTTCATCATTGTTTGTGAATCAGACGATGTAATAACTGCGCATGTCTAGTCGTTACATCACCCAAGATTGCATCATACTTTTTATGGTTAGTAAGGTTTTTGTTTCAACTTTTTGTGATTCAGTCATTGTTTGAGATGGACGTGACTCCCAGAAGGCGCATGAAGATCGTGACCTTGCACGAACACACAGACAAGACCTACAGGGACATAGCAAGAATAGTAGGCGTCAGTCCGGCAACCGTCAGCCGTGTGGTCAAAAAGAAAAAGGAGACGGGATGCATTTCGCCAAAACGCAAAGGGAAATGTGGTCCTAAGAGAAAAACCACTGCCAGGGATGACGCTTACCTAATACGGGAAAGTGTTAAAGATCCTCGAAAGACTAGTGACGCATTAAAACGTGATTTGGGAGAGAAAGGAATAGAAATAAGTTCTTCAACGGTTCGCAGGCGACTCATGGAAGTTGGTCGGAAAGCCAGAGGACCTGTGAAAAAACAACTTCTGACAAAAGTAATGAAAGTTAAGCGTTACAAATGGGGACTAAAATACAAAAACTGGACAAAAGAAGATTGGAGAAAAGTCCTATTCAGCGATGAAAGCCATTTCTATGTTCATGGTCAGAGAAGTCAGTATGTTCGGAGGTCAGAGGGAGAAAAAGTTCGTGATTCCCACATTGACCACTTCGTGAAACACCCACAAAAGCAGATGTTTTGGGGGTGCTTTAGTTATTACGGCGTCGGCGCCTTGCATCCAGTCCAGGGCATGATGCGCTCTCCACAATATATAGAAGTTCTCCAAAGAAGAGCTGTTCCAGAACTAAAAAAGACATTTCCTGACGGATCTGGCGTATTTCAACATCTTGGGTCCCTGTACCAAACTTGAATTAAAGCTTAAATAAGTTTCTCCTTTGTCGTACAGTCCATGCCACGAAGGCGTTGCTTGCAAATAGACCACATATTTTCAATGGGGTTTAAATCTGGTGAATTCCCAGGCCAGTCCAAGATGGTTATTTGATTAGTATTGAAAAAAGTCTTGACCATTTTCGATGTGTGGCACGGGGTCAGATCCCGTTGAAGAACTGATTTCTATTCCTTTCTCTCCCAAATCACGTTTTAATGCGTCACTAGTCTTTCACGGATCTTTAACACTTTCCCGTATTACGTAATCGTCATCCCTGGCAGTGGTTTTCCTCTTAGGACCACATTTCCCTTTGCGTTTTGGCGAAATGCATCCCGTTTCCTTTTTCTTTTTGACCACACGGCTGACGGTTGCCGGACTGACGCCTACTATTCTTGCTATGTCCCTGTAGGTCTTGTCTGTGTGTTCGTGCAAGGTCACGATCTTCATGCGCCTTCTGGGAGTCACGTCCATCTCAAACAATGACTGAATCACAAAAAGTTGAAACAAAAACCTTACTAACCATAAAAAGTATGATGCAATCTTGGGTGATGTAACGACTAGACATGCGCAGTTATTACATCGTCTGATTCACAAACAATGATGAAATATCTATTCCTAAAATAAAACAAAAAAATAAATGCAAAACGGCAGCTTTCATGTATAAAAACATGATATTCATAGAAAAGGGGACACAATCGTACTTTGTTTCAATTAATGTGCACGAGGATGTAGCTGCACAGAGCTAAGCTTAATTCACAGTCGTGTGAAATCCAGGTTCACGCCCGCCTAGGAAACTGAAAGTTGTCTGTGCACTAGCTAAACAAGTAGCTACAGGACCATGTTCTTCTGTTCACACAACGATGACTTTTAAACGTCTTTCGGTCAGAATAAAAAAACGATCATCCCGATTTCATCTAATGATGCTTACAACCTGAGCGTTTAAGCTTTATCAAAAGCGAGTTCGTCTTGCAATGAGCTGACGTGGCAAAAGCCACACCCTTTGAGACATACCTCTCATCATCATCATCAAGAGCAGTACATCAGTCACTTGAATTGATGTTTCGCAGCCGTACAAGCACGGTGACCTACGTAAGGAAGAACAATAAGAAAAAGGGGACCTGCGGTAAAAGCTTAATGGCTTAAAACACTCAGGGTTAAGGCACCTACACCATGTCAACAAACTACCATCACAAACAGCTGGCTATGGTGCAAAGATAAGGAGGCATCGGCGAGATAGCTTCATTGCTGCCTTCACTGCCCCGCGTCATAATCAACCATTACCCCGCAGGTAAGTCAGCACCAAACACACTGTAAACTGGCAATCCAACTAGACGACAGAAGACACGCCACTGGTGTCGACTGTGAGCCAAGCACAAGGCGGGTCACGTGGGCTCCAGCCGGTAAGGTGAGACAGACCGACGGCACCGAGTTTGGTCGTCAGTGACTTCATTTCCCGCTGCCAAGTCAACTCCCGTCCACCTCGAGCTTTGCGCTACATCTACCCTACATCTGGCAAACAAAACAAAGCCCTACCCGTTAAGCGGTGACAAAGCGTATGTAGTATGTGCCTAAGCCAACGCAAATTAGTAGGTGCTGTTGTTCTAAGGAAATAGCCTGGTTATCACTGTTTAGTACTCGCTTACGCACATCATCGTTGCGGACACGCTGGTGCCACCCGGCACGCAGACAATGATGATCGAAGACTAGAAGGCGACTCAGATCTTCAGACTGAGGTGGCCAAATCTCACTTCCAAAGAGAACGGCACTCACTGTGGCCTTGTATACATGGCCTTTTAAACAGATTCTAAAAGGCAGTTCTAGCCTCTTGCAATGCGTGTAGTCACTGCAGCTGCTATGTGCCCGTGGCAGCTCATACAGTTGCCAAGATAGGTGAAATTCGAGTTCCTCACCAGCAAGGGTCAAGGGGTCGTCAGGTGCCTGGTGGTTCTGTAGCAGCACCTCGTAACTGAAGGTGCGAAGCGTATGCCAAATGATGGGACCACCCTAGAAAGGTTATTCAGGGTTGATTGCGCCGCCACAAAATCGTTAAACAGCAGGAAAATAGTGTACGCATAATCAAGATAAACAGGCTGTCCAACAGGTAGCACCTCGACGCCTGCATCGTAAGGCTGCGCAAGAGAACACTCCATGATGGAGTCCACAACGAAGTTGAACAAAAATGGGGAGATTGGACAACCCTGACAAACGCCAATCGTTGTCAGAAAGGCATCCGCTAAATCACTGTAGACACTAAGGCCACCAGTCATGTTCGAGTAAACATGTAAAATATTCATTTATTTCATGAGAACACCTTTCCGCACAAGTGTTTCGAACAGAATGCATCGGTCGACTGAGTCGAGAAACACAGCTATTGTCGGCGTGCAGTATGTGTGGCGCTGCTCTAACACCTGCCGTAGTGTGAATAATGTGGTCTATACAGCCCCATCCTGGGCGGAAACCTGCCTGCTCTTCCCTAATCTGTGATTCTCGCTGCGCAGTGAGGCGACAAACGACAATTGAAGCCAGTGATTTTGTCACCACCGGCGTTAGGCTCATGCTCCTGTGATTAGCACAGTCGGTAGGATTGTCCTTCCTGCATATCGCCGCTATAATTAATTCACTCCGGTTACCTGGGATGGCCTGCCTTCCAGACCTGTTCGAACAGGGAGGTCAGGGTTTTGTAGAGGACCTCACTCCCATCCTTAAATAGTGCGGGTGTGAGCGAATCTGGGTCAGCAGCAAGAAAAATATTAAGAGCTGTGATCGCGTTTCGGACCTCAGCCTGCAACACCTGAGTAGGAAGAGGTCCAGAAGCAGGGTGACAACTGAACTGATCTTGAAAGTGTTCCGCCCAGCGAGTCATACGGCACTCCTTATTGTGGATCAGGGCACCCGCACTGTCACTGATTGTCTCGCTGACACCATGATTCCTGAGGCCAGTGGTGCGGATCAGTTAAAAGAGCTTGCGATAATTGCCTACTGCCAATGCTTTCTCCAATTTTTGGACCGATTGGCTTCGTTGTCAGTACGCAGGCTCCGCTTCAGTTCGCGCCTAATAGTCCGTCTGGCCGTATTATGCTCAGAGCCAGCAGGGAAT